ATATGGAAGAGACATAATGGTATTTAAATAATTTTTCAATTGCAAAACAAATTAAGTCAAGAAATTCAGAATTAAAATAGCCAGGAACTGTTTACATTGGCACTGGTCCTTGGGAAAAAATGGACAAGGTAAAAAATGTAATAGATTTTACTGAACCAACTATAGGTTCTATGATAGATGAAGGAGTTCAGAGATTGTAAATTCTTCAGGGCAGGGAATGTCCATTTGCTACGTGTTTGTAAAGTGCCTATCACAATGGGGCCCTGTGAGTCCTAGGCACTACCATAATACAAATAATACCAATAATACTTTCTTTCTAGATTATTTATATTCATTAATTATCTTCTCATACATAACAGCACCACTCCTGTCCCTTGATAAATTATTCACTTATTAACTCAACCCTCTAACAAGTCTTTATCTCATCCTTAAACCAGTAGCAGTGAAAAATCTCCAGGTGCCGATCCAGCAAAGCACTTCACAGAGGCCTAACTTTAAACATGAGTAGTGTCATTGATTTAGATGGGACTGTTCACCTGCTTAATATTATGCACATACTTAAGTGTTTGCTGGATCACGGCCCAACAAAGTAGCAGCCATGAAAACTTTCATATTCTCCAAGACAATTTTTTTTTCAAATTCTCTTTTTATGTTATGGTTTGTTGATACTTCTTTTCTCTTCTACAAGAGGTGTAATGATCATGGCAATTGTGCATAAATGGCTTTTACATTTATCAAATGTTTTAGCTTCACTTTGGCATTTAATCATTTTTCTCTCCAAAATTAAAGTGGACTCACATTGTTTACCTCTATTATTGTGCTTTTTAGGTTTCTCAGTAAAGTGAGCTGTGGAGCATGAATTTGCTTTGGTTTGATTCTTCTGGTGGTTGCTGATTTTGCCAAGTAGCTTTTATGATGTATTTATTTATCTGGATTTATACAAGCATTAAGGGTGATTACTGACAGGCTATAGGCACCCTTCACATAATGTTAAAATACATCAAATCACAAGTTTTATTTTACATTGAAAACTTAAGAACAAATCCCACTTTCAGATGCAGACAGGTAACGCATGTGAACACCTGTGGGTAGGTAGGCCATTCAGATGAACAGTGCTGTTTTTCTATGGTTTGTCCTCTGTCTGTTACACGTGGGTGCCAGGTTTGTATAATTTTTGGTGGTGCCCAGAACAGGTCCAAGCAGAGCCGTCCTGTCCATAGGATGGACTGGGGCAACCGCCCCGGGGCCCTGTGCTTTGGGGGGCCCCGTGCTTCAAGGGGACGTGGGGTCCACGGCGGGGGCTTGGGGGAAGGGATGGAGTGAGGACGGGGGTGGGCTGGGGCTGAGTTGCTCACTGCTGCCGGCACCAGCCCACCCTGGACCCCACATCCCCCTGAAGCACAGGGCCTGGGGCGGTTGTTCCGGTCTGTCCTATGGATGGGAAGGCTCTGAAAATATAAGCCCAAACATTGGTGGAGCCAGGCCCACCTTCCTTAATATTGGTGAAGCACAGGCATTATGGGCCCATATAACTCACCCTCACCATCTATGCTGGTACGGAGACTAAATGGGACATGGTTTTGACTGGTAGCATGCACAACAGACAGCATTTTGAAGATCACATCGCTGCACCCCTCACAAGCATGACCTCCCAAGTGCCATCATGCTGGCAGAGGCAGGGGTCACCAGCAGGGGTCAGGTCATGCCGGCAGTGGCACAGTCACATCACAAGTGGCAGAATCATGCTGAGGGGCAAAGTCACAGGCACAAGGTCACACCAGCAGGGGCAGGGTCACATCATTCCTGGAAGTACTGGAATGTCCATGTCCTGTGTTCAGGGGATGTGTCAGTGGCCACCCTGCCTGTGGCACATTTGCCTTGATCAGCCCTTTGCTGGGCACCGAGCATCTCTTTCCCAAGGCGCCAAACTTCCCAGCCTCATTTGCCTGAGGGCCACGTTTAACAACCGAACTCACGTGTGGTTCTAAAGGGCTGCTGTGGCCGAGCTGGGCCACTGCCCATGGGCAGCGCCAAACCCTGCAAGAGTGTCAGGAGATCGCCCCCCTCAGCCACCATGTGTGCAGGGCGTTTGGTGCCTTCCTTCAGTTCCTTGACAACATGCAAACAGGCCAGATCCGTGTGGCTGCTGGCAACCTGAGTCACGGGGGGAGTCTCGCAGCCAGCGGCACCGGGTGCGGGTCTGTACTCGCAGCCCGGGCACCCCTTGCCCTGGTTCAGACCCGGACCGGACAGAGGGAAGGGAAAAGTAGCACAGCGGGTGCCCTGTCCCTGGCAGCGCGCGCACGTGAACAGCGCGTGAGCAGCAGCCCCGGATTCCTGCTCCCGCAGGCTCCTGCCTGCCTGGCCTGGGCGCTGACTAACGCGTCGGGGGGGGGGGGGCGGGCGGAGCCAGCGAACACCTCGTCTCTCGGTTGCAGCAGTTATGGAAAATTTTTAGAACCTTTGCCCCGCCCTCAGCAAGGCCCCGCCCTCTTCCTCCTCTTCAACTCCCCCCGCTTCCGCCGTCACCCCCGCCCCAGCCTGCTCTAGAACTTTCGGCGCCTCTATCCGGGCAGGCTGGAACCTAACGGTCGGCTCGCGCCCCCGGGCTGAGATCCCGGGTCTCGAGGCGCCGAGTACCCGAGCTGCTCCCGCCGCCCTGCCGGGGAGAACCCCTTAGCCACGGCCACTAAAGAGGAGCACCCCTGAATTTAGCAGCTGCGCCTTAAATCCGTGCGCCCCGTGCCCCTGGGGGAGGACACCGCGCCCCCCCCCATCCTGGCCCGCGTGGGGGCACGTGTGCGCTGAGTTCCAAGCGCGCTGGGTTGCTGTGCATGGCGCTCCCGGGGGAAACCCCATTGCAGCCGTGACGAGGGGAAGGGCTAGAATACGGCGTGCGGCAAACACCGCCCGGGCCGTGGCCGCACAGCTCAGACGCACGAAGCTAGCCCAGCCAGCACACAACCCCCTCCCCGGCTCTCCACCCCATACACCCGCCGCACGGACACGTGCGCCCCTCCCGAGAGAGCCCACAGCAGGGGGCTCCATCGGCCGTCACAAACACCGCACCCTACAGGGCCACCCGCGCTGCAAAATGCGCGCACCCATCCCCCTCCAGCTCCGGCCGATGCGCAAAGCCGCCGGCGGGAAGGAATTAAAGGACTGGGGCCGTGTGAGGGAGGGATACCTGCCGGGGGGAGCGCACGTTGCACTAACAACAGACTGCTCCCCCCTTCGCAACACACAGAGGGAGGGACTTCCCGCAAATCTCTCCCCCTCCCTCCCAAGGCCACTCGCTAAAGGCGTGTGAAATACAGTGGAGCATTTGTCTACATCCCTGCACGGGAGAAAGATAGCGAAATCCCCCCACCAACTTCCCAGAGGGGGGAGACGAGCCATAGAATAAAATCCATGTCCAGCTCTCCCTGGAGAGGCGGTAATGCTTAGTACTGACCCTCACCCCGCCACAATCTGCTTACATCGTAGAGAGAGCAAAATCCTCCAACGATCACTAGGGGGGAAATAGTAAGACATTGGCTGAGTTATGATAAAGGAGTTGTGTCCCCCTTCCTGGGCCCCTTAAAAAGTGTGAGACTCCAGGCGAAGGGCTAGGAAAATACTCCAATGACGCAAGCCTAAGGGTTCCTTTTAAACTCGAGCTACCATCTGGATTTATATGTGCGCGCACCGCATCATACATTACAAATAATAAATGTCAGCAGTAGGACCGTGAGACTGATCAGCTTTCACCTCAGTAACCTTTGCATCATTGTAACGTGATACAAACACTAAAGATCAGAGGGGTAGCCGTGTTAGTCTGGATCTGTAAGAGCAGCAAAGAGTCCTGTGGCACCTTATAGACTAACAGACGTATTGGAGAAGTTCATGCTCCAATTCGTCTGTTAGTCTATAAGGTGCCACAGGACTCTTTGCTGCTTTTACAAACACTGAAGAGGGGATGACTGAAAACAGTGAGAGTCTGGGGATCATCCACAATGATGGACGGGGGAGTCTCAGCTACACCCATTTAAATGGTACTGAAATCAAATACTCTTTAAACTGCAATTGGCAAGTGAGAATTTCTTTACACCAAGGAGTTCTTTACAAACAGCCTCACCCCACCCCTGTGAAGTAGGATTTTAAAGATAGGGGAAGTTGAAACCGCAGATGTTTCAGTAATGAATGAATTATGTCCTTGAAAGAATTATGGTTATTGCATCATGCATTCACTGAACCTCTCTGTATCTCTGTTTTCTCTCTGAAAGGCGGCCTACCTCACTCACTCTAGTGTTGTGAGGTTTCATAAATTGATGTCAGGCCCTTTGAGATCCTCTGAAATAGGTGAACACAAAGTAGTGGTGGTACCTCGTTTGGTGATGGGGGGTTAGTTAAGTACAGTTTGTCTCCAGTGTTACATCAGTGCACTGCTAAATAATGTTCTCGTGGTATTTCTCGTCGATAGAGGAGGGGGTTTAGTGACAGCGCCTGAGCGGCATCTTAAGCCTAGCGAGAGAGGAAATGAGCCGGGGGCGTGGCTACGAAGCGCAGGGAGCCGGGCTGGTGTTGGTATACAAAGGAGAGGCGGCACATTGCTGTGTATGTAGGTGCCTCGCCCTTTCCTCTCTCCGCCGCGCGTCTCCGCAGCCCACTCTCAAAAAGCAGAAGCAGCAGAGACATTTTTCAGACCTGTAGCAAAGTCGTACGGGAGCAATATCCGGCTGCCCGGCCGGGATAACAGCACTGCCTGACCAAAGCCACATGCTCTCCTTATCAGCTGAGGGTTTGAGTAGAAGGAGAACCTTAATTTTTTTCTCGTGTATCGGTGGCTTTTAAACGAATTTTTGGTACTTTTCTTTATTTATTTTCTACTTTAAGGATTGTCGTTTTTTCCTTTCAAGAACATTTAAAATTATCAATTTAGAAAAAGATCTCGTCGGTATTCTGAGGATTTCAGAGGGAAAATCCTGGGTTTTCAGCTTCGCCAAGGTAAGTACTGTGCTTATTGCTCGTGTGGTTGTGGGGGTGAGGGGTCTGGGCTTTAAATCGCTGAGTGGATTATTGGTGCCTTTAGTTAAGGCCAATATTATGTTTCGGAAACGATATTAAAACCCCCTGCGAGGGATTTTCTGTGTGTGAGAGTGGGTCAGACGGACGCAAAATCCCGCCCCAGCTGCTGCTTCCTTCCAAGGTAAAAAAAAAAACCCACGCTGCTGCTGCAGTCTTGTGACTGATTTGCATTTTTTCCCCATTTAAACTGCAGGGATCCCATGTCCCTGGAAGGGGGGAGGGAAATAGAAAGCAGGGAGCGGTATGGAAATGTTTGAGGGGAAGGTTAAGCAAGAGTGAATATGACAATCGCACATGGCTGTTGCATCAGCTTTCTTTTCTGACGCAGGAAGGGTGGACTGGAGGTATTTCTCTTTCACACATATAGTACACGTGTGTGTGATCAGATACATCTATGTGTAAGGATATTTTATTAATATAACAAATATTTTTCATTATAGTATACTGTGTTGGTACTTCTCCGTTATAACTCTTAATGTGAATATAATAGTTTTTACATTGCAATATGATTAGTCCCCACGTAAGTTATGTAAATTGTGTGGATTTGATCTTCAGATATAAATGTCTTCTTAGCAGCTGGAGCGTGTGATCTTGATTTCATTTTTTTGCCTTTGTGTGTGAATGAAAGAGCATGTCTCAGAAAGCCCAACGTACATATACACTGGCAGACCCTTTCCTATGCAGATCACATCTTCTGGCGTGTGCTTGGGTGTTGTAGTTGAAGATTTATCTTTGTTCTCCGTTGTAGTCAGTATCTTGTACTTTTCCTCTCCGCCCCTCCTCGGCTGGTACTTTTCCACTCGTCTGGCTGGCGATGAATCAACCCCAGAGCAGCAGCAAGCCGCCGCTCTTCACGTGACCCGCTTGATAGACCACTGCAGTATTGACGTTTCCTTTTTACCTTCACAGGCAAGGCAAATCCGGCATCCAAGGACAAAAGAGCGAGCTCAGTGAAGACTGCCACCGAGGGGCAGTCATCAGGCCAAATATTCCCCACTTCATCTAATACTGGGAAAAGCTAATTGAATTCCCATCATGGATAGAGCAGACGTGAGCAAGTTTAACATCTCTCCAGATGAAGACAGCAGTAGCTTTAGCTCCAACAGCAATGACTTCAATTATCCATATCCAACCAAAGCACCTATAAGGTTAGAGGGATTTTGCATTGCTCTTAGTTTTGTTTCTATTTGTTAATATTTGTACTCTATTACACATAATGTACTTCACACCTTTAAAGTACTCTTTTAAAATGCCTTGCTAGATCTTAATGTTTTTAATTTTTACATTTATTACAAATATAGGAAGTTGAATATACAAAATTTTTATAGTCATTTTGCAGATGACAGATTATGTATTTAGTTTTGTTGGATGATTTGCTGATTTTCTAATTCCCTTTGAAACAGAATAAAAAACAGAAACAACTAACTTCTTAAAGGCAATTAATGTATAACTGGTTCGTTATAACAATTAAATATGGATTTATTTATTTTTTCTTACAGACCATGTGTAGACAGGGATCCAGAAAATCAAAATTTCCTGCTTGAATCCAATCTTGGAAAGAAGAAGTATGACATTGAATATGTAAGTAAGCACTAACGAAGTTTTAAAATTAGCACACTGAACAATTGCTTTACTTTCAAATATTTAACCTTGAAAAGTGGAAAATGTTCATTTAAATTCAAATCTAAAGCATGAATAAATCACTGGTTCTCTATTAATTATTAGCTTTTCCTTCCCTTACACAGCATCCAGGTACTACTTCCTTTGGAATGTCAGCGTTTAATCTGAGCAATGTTATTATGGGTAGTGGCATCCTTGGACTTTCTTATGCCATGGCAAACACTGGAATTATTCTTTTTGTGTAAGTATGTTTTGGTTAATTTAAAAAAGGCTCTTCTGCCATGTATCTGTTAATAGACAATATTAGCGGTATCCAGTGTAGTTGTAGCTGTGTTGGTCCCAGGATAGTGGAGAGACAAGGTAGGTGAGTAATATCTTTTATTGGACCACTTTCTGTTAGTGAGAAAGACAAGCTTGTGAGCCATACAGAGCTGTTCTTCAGGTCTTTCTTTGAAACGGTTACAAACCTTGTGGATAGACAGAAGTAGTAAATGTGATATAGCTCAACTTTAACTAGGTTTTCATACGGTCTCACATGACCTTCTCAGAAGCAAACTAGAGAAATATAGCCTAGGGGACATGGAATATATTCAGGGGGAGGGAGGGGAGAAGCTTTAGAAGAGTAGCAGCTGCTGGCTGGGTGTGCCTTACCTTACTGAGGGTGGCGCTGCCTTCCACCTGCCGGCCAGCAGCCACCACACCCCACTCTGCCTTCCAAGCTGGGCAGCCAGAGAGTGGTGGCCGCTAGCCAAGCGCACAGCTCTGAAGGCAGTGCCGCTGCCAGCAGTAATGGAGAAGTAAGAGTGGCAGTGTCATAAATGCCACCCTAACTTCTACATTGCTGCTGGCGGCAGCACTGCCTTCAGCACTGGGTGCTTGGCCTGCAGCTGCCGCTCTCCAATCTGCTTTCAGAACTGAGTGGCAGTATATGTACTTGTGGGGGTGTGTAAATGACTACAGACACAAGTGGGAGTGGGGGGGAATCAAATAAGTTTGAGAACCACTGGGCTAGATGAACCTATTGCAAGGTAGGTGCACAACTGGTTTGAAAATGGTATTCAGGGAGTTATCAGTGGTTCACAGGTCAGGCTGGAAGGGCATGTAGAGTGGAGTCCCATGTGGATCTGTCCTGAGTCCACTTCTAGTCAATGTCTTCATGGATAATTTGAATAAATGAAATGGAAAGTACACTTACAAATTGTGTGGACGATACCAAGCTGGGAGGTTTGCAAGTGCTTTGGAGGATAGGCTTAGAAGTCAAAATGATCTTGACAAACTGGAGAAATGACATGAAATAAATAGGGTGAAATTCAACAAGGACAAATTGTTCCTTCCTAACTGGAGTATTTTCAATCAGTTGCACAGGTACAAAATGGGAAATGACTGCCTAGGAAGGAGTACTGCAGAAAGGGATTTGGGGGTCATAGTGGATCACAAGCTAAATATGAACAGTATAACACTGTTGCAAAAAAAGCAAACATTCTGCAATGTATTAGCAGAAGTGTTGTAACAAGACATGAGAAGTAATTCTTCTGCTCTACTCTACACTGATTAGGCTTAACTGAAGTATTGTGTTCAGGTCTGAGCATCACATTTCAGGAAAGATGTGGACAAACTGGAGAAAGTCCAGAGAAGAGCAACAAAAATGATTAAAGGTCTAGAAAACATGACCTACGAGGGAAAGACTGAAAAAATTGGTTTGTTAGGTCTAGAGAAGAGAACGCTGAGGGGGTACATAAGTTTCCAAGTATGTAAAAGATTGTTATAAAGAGAAGATTGATAAATTGTTCTCCTTATCCACGGAGGACAGGAGAAGAAGTAATGGGCTTAAATTGCAATAAGGGAGATTTAGGTTAGACATTAGGAAAAGCTTCCTAATTGCAAGGTAGTTAAGCAGTGGAACAAATAACCTAAGGAGGTTGTGGAATCTCCATTATTGGAGGTGTAGTGCATGGCATGATTTTTTTTTCCCTTAAGACCTTTTTTATATACCCTTTTCTTTATACATACTATTAATATATATATATATTTAATTAACAAAGCTGTGCATACAGTAAAAATAGCAAAGAGGCATTTACCTGCCCCTTTTATATCCCAATTCCATGCTCTAAAGAGGTTCTGTAATGGTTATGATAGCCTACCGGGTGTTATGCTGGTGACATCTCTTAGGAGTTAGTGTAGACAAAAAAGTAAAATAGGTGGGAGGAAGCAAGTTTAAAGTCAGTTATTTGAATAATTCAGCACATTATGCTATAATCAGTTCATTTAAAAAAAAAAACACTTGTAGCGAGCAATTTAGCAATCATAGGTGCCACAGTGGTTTAATTCATTAATTTTTTTCATCTCTAGATTGTATTCAAATATATTGCTACTGAAATAAGGCTACACTAGTTCACATAACATCACAAAATTAAGTATGATTAGTAGTCTAGATGCAGGAGAGCACAGGTTGCAGTTGCTAAGACGTTACTGAGAGTGCATGGCTCACAGGATTAATAACAGTATAAAAGGCTTTTAATGTCTAGCTGATTGGTTCACATCTGGCCCAGGCTGATAGTGACTTTAAATTTTTAACATGATAATTATTAGGCAGCTTATATGAACTGAGCTGGTGGTGGCAGTTCATATAAGCAAGTGTTCTCAGTGTGTGTGCTTGGTAGCTTCAGCATAGAAGCCAGGAACAAAATGAGCACACGGACCCAGGGGTTCTCACAGTAATTTTTTTGGTGGCCTCAGAGTGTGGCCACCAACTCTTGCCGGTGGCCACTCTGACAATTCTTCCTAAATTACTTTAGGAAAAACAAATAAATATGCACTGATACATGTCCAAATCATAGTAATTTATTTATGTAGGGTTTGGGGGGTTTTTATTTTGTTTTGGGCAGACTCGATAATAAATGTACATTTGTCTCTCTTCTTTACTGGACCTAAACAGAATAGAAACACAAAGAAGGTGTTTTGAAGTTGTGTTTTTTGTTTTGTTTTGCCTTTTGGTTGCTTTGTTTTGACTTGCTAGCTGGTAAGTCTGCTTCTGTGAAAAGTGATATTAGCTAGCTAGAAAGTGATATTAACTGGGAGGCAGTGAAAAGTGATATAAACAAACATACAAATACCACTTTTCACAGCAGACTTACTGGCAAGCTGGGGGACAAATTAAGCCCTGGATGGGGAGGTGGTAGGGAACAGGGGTGATGGTGGGGGAGACTGGGGGGCCCAAAGCCCTGCAGCTGGGGATCAGAGCTGGAGGACAAAGTGGAGGCTAGGAGCAGTGGAGGGGTGGTGAGCCCAGCGCTAGAGCCTGAAGCCCCGCCGCAAGTGGGGGATGGAGCCTGATGTCACGCAGCTGGAGCCTGCAGTTCGCCACCCAAGGCTGAAGCTGGAAGTCCGAGTCCCACCACCCCTGGGAAAATGGGGAACTTACCTGGCATTTGCAGCTCCAGAGGGTGGCAGGGCCAAACCCCTGCTGGTGGCACAAGGGTGGGGGTGCTGCTTTTTTGCCTCACCCTCTTCTCCCTCCCCCCCACCCCCAATCACCACCAAGGAGGCTGTGGCTTCAAGAAAATCTACTGGTGCCCGTATTTGAGAAACACTGGACTAAACTACCTTGTTACTCTGATAAAGTGGCCATTCTAAGTTAAGTCTGAGGTAGTGTTGAAATAGATATCTATTATCTGTTTTCTGTAGTACCAAACACTATGATCTGTAAGCTCTTTCCAGTACTGTTTCTGACTGATGAACAAATAAGAGAAGTCCAGTTACCAGTGCACCACTTAATCTTTACCTTTCACAATCATGAAAATTTATTTGTATATGATTTGCAGTGTATTCTGCAGTACATTGGTGGAGATTATTGTATTACTTGTCAACAATATGCCTGATTGAAGCTCATGTCCCTACATCTTTTACTTTGACAAGCACTAAAACCCATACAGAAAATGAAAAGAACAAACTGGGAATGAGGACTCGTTAAACTGAGCTTCAAAACTTTTTTGAGCAGCTATAGTCTCTCTGGGAACTATTCTTTTAAAGCAGAATGCTTGTATTGGTGTAGGAAGGGGCAGTTTTTTTTAATTTATTACAGCTTTGTGACTGTGGTGTTCTTCAGCTGCAAAGAACAATACAGCTGCTGAAGGGTGTATTCATTGAGAATTTTTAGAGGTTACAAAGGAGCATTTCAATAAAGCATATGTAGTTCTAATAGAAACTATAAGAAAAGTAGACAACTTCTGGGAGCCATTAACAGTCTCTGTTTAAGCACAGGTGAAACAGTAAATGTTGAGCAAAGAAAACTGACCTGCATTTGGATCACTTCAGTGTATATGAATTTTAAAACAAACCGTACTGAATCACGAGCTCTTAACATTTTCTAATTGTCCGTCCATACTTTACCAGTCAATTAACTGTCTTTGTATCTTGCTTTACACAAAAACATCACATACAGCTATAAGGTGATTTCTTTCAGACTTCAGCAGATTTTCTCACCTAGTCACAAATCACATCAGTCACAAGTCTAGTGTTTCAGAGATGAACTAGCTGTGATCTAATTACCTAAGAATGTGAGGGGGAAAAGTAAAAATAGAAAAACAGCTGTTACAGTTATTATACAAAATAATGTGGGTTTTTTTAATATTGTTAAAATAATATATTTATTGGATCAATCAAAAATATATTGGGTCTGATTCTCATTTATACTTGCACCTCTCTAAGGGCCCTTTACACTATTAGAGTGGTGTAAAGTCAATGTAAGTATTATTTAATCCCACTTCAGCAGTATCTAGTATAAATTAGAATTGGGCCCGTTGACAAAATAATAATGAAAATAGGTAGAGGTACCTTCCAATGTGGATTTAAGTATGATGTCTTTTCATAAACAAGCACTGATTGATTCATACCTTCTCAGCTAGTATTGGAACTTACACTTATTTTTCTTAATTATTGTTTCATTTCACTGTATTTTGATATTGGTTCTTATGTTCTATCTTAAATCCTTCCTATTCAAACACAATTAATGTGGCTAAACTAAATACATTTAAGGCTTTCTAAAAGTTTTTTTGGCTTTTTTTCCCCCCCTCCTAGGATTCTCTTGGTGGTTGTGTCAATATTCTCTTTATATTCAGTTCATCTTCTCCTAAAGACTGCCAATGAAGGAGGTATGGTAAATTTTTATTATTGTACAAATAGTTATTACTAACTTCATATTATCTTTCCTTCATAAAATACAGCTTTTCAATTGATTTATTTTGTATGTTTGTAGGCTCTCTATTATATGAACAGCTAGGAATGAAGGCATTTGGTTTGGCTGGGAAAATTGCAGCTTCTGGATCAATTACAATGCAGAACATTGGAGGTGAGGGTTTTAAAAATATGTACTGTAGATTGTAATGTCAAATAATAAATACTCCCTCTCCATTCTCAGACTTTTTTCACATATCTTTTTATTAATTGTTTGTGTCAAGTAAAGTTATGAAATAAGTTTTTTTTATGTCATGTTCCATCTATATTTGTAATGATTTATAATGTTATTCACCTACAGCTATGTCAAGCTACCTCTACATAGTGAAATATGAGTTGCCATTGGTCATCAAGTCATTTATGAACATCGAAGAGAACACAGGGTAGGTGATAGAACTCCTGCTCATCAGAGAAACTATTAGTAGAAACAAAAATGGACAACATATACATTTTATATGAAGACCTCCTTTGGTACATTTTAGTGTAGCTTCTTAGTCAGAGATAGGGCATTGTTAAGCTCCAGTAAGCTTTTTTTTTTTCCCCTACCCCTTGGGTGGTCCATTTGACATGGATCTAGTCTCTGCTGGTAAAGATATTAGCAAAATATATGTATTCCATCATATTATAGAAAACAGTTATGTAAAGAATATCCGGTAAGTGCTAATGGCTGTGCTGGTCAACATATTGCTCAATAATGAAATGAAAATTAAATAGGGTCATAGTTGTTATCTCTAATGTATTTCAGGAAGCTTAGACAGATAAGACAGTTTTCAACATTAACATTGTGGGAAGTATTCTTACTATAACAGTAAGCTGCATTTCTACAGTAATTCTAGTTAATACTTGCTTAAGGACAAATATTCAGTAAGTCTGTGGCAATATTAAAAACACCAACTCATTGATTACAGTGCATGTAGTGATTTAAGATATGCAGCATACATCCAAACTGTGCATCTACATTATCCATTAATCCACACAGAAATTCCATAACTTCTTGACTTTGTGAATCATGATTTCCTTCACATGGGCTATCACCAGCAATAATATGCATTCTGATGAGAAGTGCTGAAGGCCTTTGATATGTTTTGTTTTGTTTTTTTAACTCAACAAAACATTTTCGTGTTTAAAAAAAAAAAGACAAGTCAAAGACATGTCTAAATCACACTAATTTGAGAATGTATAATGTATTTTTTTTTAATTCCAAATAAAGTAACTGAAGAAATGGGTCCAAATTCTTCTCTCCTTTGCATTGGTATGAATACAGAGTGACTCTGTTAAAATTAATCCAGATTTACACCAGTTTTCAGAATTTAGCCCTTAATGTTCAAACTAGTAAAGTCTTTAAGATGGCTTATTTGCTCAACAAGGCTTTTTTGCTCATCCAAATATTACATCTGGTTTAAAAATATCTCCTGTTATGGATCAGCTAGTACTATTTCCAGTATTAACAGTGGGATAAAGGCTACACTATTACTGCCACAGTTGAATAACCCATGACCAGTTTTGCCCTGTTACTTCATTGCACTGAAGTTATTCAGTTCAGTCTGAGAACTGAATTTGTCCCCCAGTGTTTCAGAGGAAGATGCTCCCAATACACCTGACAAATGAGTGATTACTTTTGCCTATTGAAAGAAAAAAGAAACACAGGAAGGGGTTCAGGGAAGAAAATCTCTATGAAGTTTCCCTTGTGGTGATATTCTTCCATATTTTTTTTTCAGTTGTGATGGGCCAGATTTGCCCCTGTGGAACAGAATGAAATCTTCCCCGTGTCCCAGGTGATAGGCAGAAGGCCAGGGCCAGCCATGCAGAGGCCATGTGCTTCTGCAGCATCTCTGGCTCTCTCTCTCTGGCTTTCCCCTAGCTCCCTGGCAGCATACAGTAGAGCCACATTACCAGAGATTTCCCCTGGCTCTTCAAAGCCTTTCTTAAAGGGTGATCTCCATCCCAGATGGGACATAGTGAGAAAGATAATGCAGCCTCAGGGTTGGGGGCTGGGGAGCAACAAAGAAACAAAGGCCCAGATTCACCTAGGCAGCTACCTCCCGTTAGGATTCAAGGACATAGGGACCTTTGTGAATTTGAGCAAGATGCATTTATTTCCACCAGCGTCTTTATTCCACCCCCCCCCCCCGCGCCCAATAACCGTGTGCCTATCCTAGCAGAAGACACTGAGGGAAAGGGACATTGCAGGAGGGATCTATCTATTGCTCTCTTCAATAGCCATTGTTTTGTGAAATTATCATAACATCGTTTTATTCTCTGGTATTGTTATTGGATATTTTATCTTTTACTTACATATATTTGTTTCTATAACACACTATTGTTTGTAAGGACTAACCTGTAGGCATCATTATTGTAAAAATGCTTTGATTACTTACGTAAATTCCTCTTTTTTTCTTACAGAGAATGGTATCTTAATGGTGACTGTTTGGTTGTGCTGGTGTCTATAGTGTTCATTCTTCCTTTGTCACTGCTGAAAAATTTAGGTAAGCAACTATTCATTTAAAGTAAACATGGATACATATGTTTGATTGGCTGTTAACATGTGGAAGGTCCAAATATGGGAGCTACCTCCACATTACTGATCTCTTGCCAGGTGAACGCTGGGAGAACTGTGCAAATAATCTCAGTCCCTGAGGAGAAGAGCAGCACTTCTCTTTTTAAGAAATAAATGAGGGCTACAGAGTGTTTGTAGAGTATAAGAGGAAATGAGAGTGGGTGAGGACAGGACGGGGAGCCTGCAGTTCCCCTGTCTTTGACTGTGACCTTGTCAGATCTCTGTTTACACAGGATTTGGCCTGGTCAATGTACGTGCTATGCACATTTGAGGCAAGCACAGATGCTATGCAAAGTGATGCTCATGATTCAGTTGGTGGAATACTTTCTCTGAATCAATATGGAGTGAATACCTCACATGGTGCTTGACTCGATAACCCACCCTATGTTGTAGAGGACTATGGAACTGAAAGTGGCATTTTTCAGATAAAATACACAACCAATTTCTGCTCCCACTGAAGACTATATCAAAATTCCCATTGACTTCATTGGAAACAAGATTAGATCAATTAAGTGAAGCTCCTGACCACTTGTGGTCATCAGTTACCACATGGCACTCTTCCAAGAGTGGGGATGTTAGCCCTTGTGTCCTGGCCAAATTTCATTTTGGGTAACTACATTTTCCCTGCAGTTTAAATTGGAAATAATGATTTTGTTGTTGTTGTTGTTTGTTTGGGGTCCTAAACTGTTGTGTTGTATTGCTGCCTAGTTTCTTAGCAGAAGTGGCTGCACTTCAGTGATCCATATACACCTCTACCCCGATATAACGCTGTCCTTGGGAGCCAAAAAATCTTACCGCGTTATAGGTGAAACCACATTATATCAAACTTGCTTTGATCTGCCGGAGTGCGCAGCCCCGCCACCTCCTTCCCCCCCACCCCCCCACCCCCGC